TCAATATCTAAGCATTTGCTTTGTCGTTTTTTCAAATATTTCATACGCGCAGACACTTAATTTACAAAATCGCATGACTTTTACAACCAAAATCCACTTCAAACCATTATTCAAGCGACATAACAGGAGTAACAATCCGTCGACGGCCAAGTTCCCGCAAAAACTCCCCAGTCGTGATAGTAGACCTCTACAAAGAGTGTAGTAATATTTAGAAGGGACTTCTGAGAACCACAGAGTACATTTTATTTCAAAGATCCAAATATATAAAGATAAGTGCTTAGAACAATTATTTTTTAAACGTTTTATATAAGAATTATACAGCTATTGGTTGCGCGGAAAACCATTCGTATTTTTATTTTATTTGAGGGTATGTTTGCCAAGCGTTGTCCTTCCTTCGACCTATCCCTCCCGTACACACCGGGGTGGTGGGGTGAGAGGGGAAAGAAGAGATTCTAGAATGTTTCGCGTTTTGCAACCAATGAGAAGAGCGCCCGACTTCGGTGGGAAAGAGGCTGATATAAGTTCGCGCGCTGGGCTCGAGTGCTCTCTTGCCTTTGCGCCGCTAGTTGCAACCACACCATCTGGGACAGTTGCGTCCTAGAGGGCTCTTGCCCACGCGCACCGCTAGTTTCGAACGCACCACCTGGAGCAGTCGAGCTCCAGAAGTAACCGCCTCACCTAGTGAGATATCGTCGCGCACCGCTCTCTTCCATCGCACCACCGGCCAGGACCGCATCCCTGGGGCCCCAGGAGATCCGCCAGAAGTCGCACCGTAGCAATAGAAGCGTCCAAGCCGCATCGAAGTCACATCCCGGTAAGTGTGTTTCCTTTACTTATAACGCCTGCTTGAGTATTTGTTTACTTCATATTTCATTCTATTTCCTTCGCCGCGTGAGTGCAAGAGGCAACAACAAATTAATAAAAATTAATCGGGTACAAAAAAAGTTTGTTGTTTATCTAAAAGGTAAGTAATTACACTGTTTTTAAAAGTTATTAAAAAAATTGTCTCGTAACAATTTTATACACTTAGCTACGTATGAAATAATGTAGTTAGAAGTAACTAAAAATGAAATATAAAGTGCAAGTTACCACTATAGATCATGTAAAAAACACAAACTTACATGCATAGTTATAATTTCGATGCACAGTTTATTATGACGAAGTTGTTTTCAACAAAATAGAGTTGGTCAAAGATAGCGTAGTACAGTATATGATTGAATACCCATGACTGAATGTCTATTTTTATTTTTAGCGGCTGCTATTGAGTATATCGATGTTATTATATTGGATAATTTTTTCTTTACGCAATTTCGAATGTTTCTATGTCCTTGTTCTTTCTTCTCTTCTTTCTTCATAGGGGCCGTCCATCAATCACATAATGTTTTTTTAGCATTTTTAACACCCCTCTCTCTCTTGGTGATACGTGGTGAGGTTTAAGACTACCCCCTCCCTCACTCACGAGTATAAAGTATAATCTGATTTTATTCTGAAATTAAGGACCATGCTAAAAATGTCTAAACAGGAAGGTTGCAGGTTGTTTTTCACTAGCATAAAAATAATATTAAAGTAATGGTGTAATCATGCGAAAAATAATGCCAATGACCCACAATTTGATTTTAATAGGACATGACAGGGTTGTCAAAAAGGGCAGAACAACGTCTGCCTGGCCAGCTAGTTTAATAATATAATAATAAGTTTTCAATTTGGTGCTTCGTCCATTTTTAAACCACAGGTGAACTGCTCAAGCTGGTTAAAGTGCAATACTATTATAATATATCTATGATGAGTATGTGCAATTCTTAGTTTATTGTTTTAATTGTTATGAGTGAGGTTCGTAACGACGGACGGTTGTTTTTGTGTGCACAGATCTCCCCCGGGAAAAACGCTACAGCTACACCCTTCCGGTCCGTCGGCTGCTCGTGTTGCTCTATGGTGGCGAGATACCCTTTTTCCATGTGTTGGTATTCGATGTGGTGAAATTTTTTATTAAAATCAAATTCTTTTATAGATATAGGAATGTGATTACTTGAAATTAATTATTTTATAGATATAGGAATGTGATTACTACGGTAGGCGATGTGTAAAAACGGTTTTGACAGCCGGAATTGGTATTTTAAATATATGTTTAATAACTTAGTGGTTGTAGTTAGGCGACTGAGTTAGTTGCCAGTGTGTTTTTAATGCTGCGGATAGAAGAAAATCGTCCCCGTGTCTTTGCACATCCCAGGCTGCCTTCAATAATAAATTATCGCGTAAGCGTTATATTGGGCGCATGCGTTTGCGAGTACGTTGTGTGGCATTGTAACATTTCTTGTGTAGTTGATCACTGCACATAACAAGTGGTTCGTGGTGCAGGCACGTTGTAGGGTAGCTGTAAGAATATTGTAACTTATCTTTATCTCTCTATTGGCTCTATTGGCTCCTACAATTTTTTCTTTCCTGGCGGGGGAGTACGAGTACGTTAGAAAAGTGTAAAGTTTAATATTTCTCTCCGAAACATAACATATACTGGATGATTTTTTTACCGTCTGTAAAAAATAGGATGTAACGTGTGAACGGAGTAAAAGCCTATGACACTGATATTTTACAAAAATAAAAAAAAATAATCAAACGTATGAAAAAAATTTAACAATTACTTTGCCCTTTGCCCTTGAGTTTGTGACCCTCGTGGACGGAGAAACCTATAGACTAATGTTTAGCGTGGCCTCGAGTGAGAAAGGTCTATAACGTAGTTTTGGGTTATACAATAAATAATCTTTATGTCTTTTAAACATATTTAGATAAAAATATTAATTGTTCTAAGAACTGAACTGAACAAGATTCACCAATCTTAAGTTCACAAAACACTTTTTTCTCACTTAAACCAACTTGTAAACTCCTTAGATCGCTACAAACACTCATAGTTCTTTAGCAAAGTGTAGTTTGCTAAACCAAAAAACCGGCACGTAGAAAGGCACAAACAATCACACCGCTCTTTCTCATTTCTATGCAAGGCGTATGCATAAATCTATCTTTTTCGTGTGCGAATGTGAAAGAAGGCGTCAATTTGTCTATAGGTTTCTCTGTCTATGGTGACCCTGCTAAATGACATGTTTAAAAATGTCCACTTCATTAATTTATTTATTTAATTCAATTTTTTTTTAAATCTTTTGTCAAATACTATTTATCAGTGCCTTAGGCTTATACCCCGGGCAGATGTTACACCCAATTTTTTCCAGACATTAAAAAAGGTCATTCTGTTTAATAAATTTAATTGTTTTAAAGATTTTATTTAATTTAAGTAATGCATAAACCAAACTAGGAATATGCTTAAAAGTAAAATAATTATTTAATAAAAAAATGCTCAAAACATAAAAAAATATATTGTAAATATTAAGATCAGTTTACAATAACTTCACATACTGGAATTATATCTTTGATGCAGATGTTTCTTTTATTTATTAGTATTTTATTGTTTAAAACTTCTAATTAATCGTTTATGTCGTAGTATATACTAAGCACTGTAGTATTCTTTTATCCGCGAACCAGGTTTCCCAACTTTTATATTGGCTTAACAGTAAAAAAAACAGTTGCCAATAATATTAAAAAAAGTTTGAACCGATGACTCTTGTATCCATGGCAATGACCAAAAAATTAAAAAAAAAAGTTAAAGCGCCAACTATCGGTGGTTTTCTGCAACTTCTTATTGATATCTCTCACTAAGTTCATGTTGTATTTTTTCTTGATCAATTGTGCTACTTGTTAACATACCCAATAGGTATTCATTATGTGCTTGTGTTTGTTTTGATCTAAGGTCAAATGTATCTAAAATTTTGTCTCAATGCATTTGTTATGTGGAAAATTCATTTCAAAACCAATGACATTATTAACAACTTGATGTGCTATCTGGCCATTTTACTTGGCTTGCGTTGGTGATTCGTATATAGTCACGTGACCAAGTGGTTTTTCGGATCAATGGCGCCAAATGTCTATTACAGAAAATGTATGATATTTTTAAGATACTTTTATTTTAATGTAAAGTTTCATTTAGTTGTACAATTTAGCCCGTCCTCATTTTATATGCATCTATACGTAGCTATATTGATATCAAAATGCAAGGGAACAAATGATGCGTAGGTCTAACGTCAATCTGGCAACAAAACAGTGCTGCTATCTATGTTGTCAATTTTGTTATGTAGTCTAATGGAGACTATTCGTGTGATAAATATTTACGGTTAAGAATATATAAGGATGGAATTTCAGCTATTTGTTTCCGTATTTAGTAAGTGTATTTGTAAAAATGTGTGTAATAGAATTTATATAATTACCTGTAGGCTAAAATACATCACGATTCTCCGCGGTTCTCCCTCTCGAAAAGAGCCTTCTATAGGCCCGCCATACATTTTTTCGTGCAATAGTGAAACGTCAAGTGATATTGTTGTTCACTATCAATGATTTACGGAAAATAACAAGTTTTGCTCATCATTTATCGCGATATTAACTATTTGCAGTAAAAATTAAATAGGCCTGATATTAGTTTCTTTCGTCATATCTTTGTTAAAATCTGATTTGACATATATTTGTTTCGGATGTCAAAAAGCTATTTTGTATCAAATAATCGTAATTAGTGGTATGGAATGTATTAATATTGCAAGACATTAGTTATTTCGCATTATTTGTTTGTTCTTTTACTCTTCTGGGTGATAAATTTCGCAAGGTGAATCAGTAGTGTCAAAACTATTGTGTTGTATTAGAACTTTTTGGGCTGTGTTAACTTGATTGATCAACTAATTATTGTTAGTTTAGCATAGGATTTCATTTATAAAAAAATATGTAATTGAAAGACTATTCATTCTAAGCTCATTATTTATTTTCAGGTTGCACCAGCTGCTCTTGTTTAGATGCAAATTAAAGTATTATCATGTAGATGATGTGACATTTTACACAATGTTACTACCGCGGTCAAAGTGTAAAGCATTACGGGGATCGTGAACATGTAGGTTGTGAACAAACTAATAAAGATGTCGTTGAGAGGCACCAAGCGGGCGACTGGAGTGCGCAGTGAGGAGGCGGGCACTTCCAAACGCCGCAGGACGGAGCCTGAGGATGCACTCTGGCAGCTCCGGCCTGTCAGTGACCTCAAGATGTCATCAATATATAATAGAAGTGCCTCTGAGGCACCTGCAGAACTATTCAGGTTTGTGTGTTATATTTAGTATGGATAACAATTTTAAAAATAGTTAATAATTTTGAAAGTTTGTAAATATAATTAAGACAAAATCTTTTATGTATTTTGTAAAAATAATATGTTTATAAGTTCCAATTAATTGTATATTAATATTAAATGTTTTGAATTTTCAATATTTATGTGAGCTGAGCATTTTTTTAAAATAATTACCTCTTGCATTATTTAATAAGACTAATAGTGTCTGTATGTATTTAGATATTATACTAGTTGTTTTAATTTAACTATGTTATTACAAATTTATCAACTTTAAAAATATATTTGAAAAACTTGTAAGCTGATTATTAACAAAGAAATGAAATTGTTGGTGTTATCTATGCTGTGCAATTATTAGTTTAATATTTTATGCAATAAATTTGTTGTGCTAGCGTTTTGTCTAAAATGATAAATATCATTTGAAAAATCATCATTCAGCACTAATACACATGAACAGTTGTTTTAAGTTTCTAAGAAAATAATAGCAGTGCGAATTTCCCCTGTGCTTAAAAGCAATGCAAATTTATAATATATAATTCTGGATTCCACAAATACAAGTAATTCACATTTTCTTTGATATTTATTGTGTTTTAAAGTTTTTATCAAATTTTAGAGGAAAAAATTAAATTACCTTCTTTTTTTTGTACTTAATGGCTTCTATTAATAAGATACTGCCAATATTAAGTCAGTTATGGGAGTGGCAACAAACTAAATAAAATCTTGTCTTTTATATTTTTTTTGTGAGAGGCTTCTAAATAACCTTTTCCAATATTATAACTAATCTCTCACATAAAATTGAAGTTTTTATAATAGGAAATCATTTGACTATAAGCACCTGTTGTCAAATATTATTCAAGAAGATTATTTTCTGTGAGTTTATATGTTTCTAATAGAAAAGCATAAAAACTACAATTTCAAATTTTTGTTGCCAACCTCTATTATACTATACTGCTTTATATCTATATATTTTGGCTATTTAGCTATCTTTATTTGTGAACATTTGCTAAAGATTTACTTATATCCTACTTTAAAATAAAAGCAAATGTTTGTAAATGTATATGTATCTTTTAAATAAATAGTGATAATATGTTCTTGTATGTAATGCTCTGAATAAATTATGAAAAATTGTAAATTTAAAGACATTTTAAGAACACCTGTACTGACTTGAACTGACATGAAGTCTCCATGTTGCATGGACATATATATAGGCAGCATGCCAGACGACACTTCCTTGCCTGAAAACCCTCTCAAAAATTACTATAGGCTTAATATTTACTCTAAGATGTGATGGAAAAAAATTGTATGAACATATACATTTAATATGAATTCTATTAATACTAGTATTGAGTCTGGTTGAAATGTAAACATTTAGTTGGTTAAATCGTTTTGTATTTAAAATAATGTGCTTTTGTTCACACTATTTTATATGCCTTAATGGCAACATACGCACATGATGTTTTTCTCCACATCTATGGTGTAGTATTTACTGTACAGGATTCATTATTCTCCTGAGAAACCTAGTTATAATAAATATTACAACAACTTTTGATGTTTAAATATTAATGCAATATTGTATATAATATTTAGAGGAGTTTATTTGTTAAGCAAATGCTGTTAATTTGATGTATTTAGACTTAATAAATATCTGGACATTCATAAATAAACTAATTTACTTACATATAAACACATGTAATTTGTTTAAGCTGTTGCTTTTCGAATTTTTCTAGATGTTGCTGGTGAAAACTGTTAATTCAGAAATCTAATTTGCCATAACATATATTTCACTTAGATAAATACAATTTAACATTTTTATCTAGTAGAAAATGTCTAGGAATTTTCTAAATGTACTAACAGTTTTCATGGGCTAACTTCACATAAAGGTAAAGTATATAAAAATACAACTTTGTAAATCAGTCTTAAATGGACTATATTTAAAATATAGTGTTTTTTTTAAAGAAATCATATATATGTCTGTGTGTGTAAAAGTTATTTTAATTAATTCATGAAGTTGAATTTATAGTAAGGAAATGTTTAAAACTCCCTGTAATTTGTAATAGAAAGTTATAATAATTAATAAACATTATTTTAGAAAGTTATAATAATTAATAAACATTATTTTAGAATATTTAACACTAACTTTTTCTTTTCTGATTTGTTAAACATAAATATTTCAGAAAAGATCTCATCAGCGCCATGAAATTACCTGACTCGGAACCCTTGACACCAAGCGAGTACTGGGTCATCACAGATACCTGGAAGCAGGATTGGGAGAGAGGGGTACAGGTGCCTGTCAATCCCGATTCACTACCTGCACCAAAGGTCAAAGTGATTGATAATCCTTTGCCTCCAGATTTTCAAGAATTTAAGTTGTAAGTTAAACTCAATTTCTTGAACTATCTTTTTAAAGTTAGTATTTTTTGGTTACAAACATCTTATTTATGACTTCTTATATTTCTTCTCAGGCCTAAGGACAAATATATCCATTTGTCCCGTGATGCGCATTACCAGGCTGACAAGCATCATCTCAGCACAACACCTGCTCGTGCAGAAGCTGCATGTAGCTATGATCTGGATGCTACAGACACAGCATGGCTCAAGTTGCTGAATGCAGAACGTGCCAGAGCTGGTGCTCCTGCTGTGACTGAGGACCAATTAGAGAAAGTCATTGAAGATTTAGAGGTAAGAGCAAAGTTATGATAAATGCAGCTGCTAGTTTATTGAACACCAAATTAAAGAAGTTATATATAGCTTGGTAATATATAATTTAATATCAAATTTTGATTCTAAAAGTCTAAAATATTATTTTTCACAATAACTTCCATTAATATTTGTTCTATGTAAGGTAACAAAAATAACAATGGTCAACAACCAAAAATTTGTTTGTTAATAATAATAATAGCCCATAAAAGTCTAACATATAATTTTTTTTAAATTTGTTTCAATTACTTAAAATTACTGCTTTGCTCTATTTTAAATAAATACATTTTAAGAGCCCTCTTACATTTCGGCATTACGCAAATTCAGGTATTTTACGCTCCGAGCGGGTGACTACCTACACGAGCGATACTTTATTTCACATTTCTTTTCATTCACTCACACTATGATACTGTGAGTATAGCGACTAAACAATCTTGATCTTTCATTATACAAGATTTCTTAGGATGGAGTTCAGTAGATGGAAGATTGTTGGTGTGTCATTTCTATGGTTTCTAATTAATTTATTATAGTCTATTTGATGTATTTCTCATTATTTATGAACCTTAGTGTTGAAATAAGTACACATAAGTAAATATTTTAATTGTTTCGCGGTAATCGATTGTTAACCAATGTTGGTTAATAATCTACTAACGAAAGCATAGTAGTATGAATAAATAAATAGTACGATAGCATAGTGGTATGAATAAATAAGTAGTACGGTTGCAACCTGTTTTGATAAATAAAATAACCAACTGTAAGTAATATTTTTTTAATCGGTATTTACAGTCAATTACCATATTTTTTTATTATAAAAATATTTGCCACAACGGCATCTAACGAGCTTATCTCGAGTCACTAATTTCAGGCAGTACACACTTTTTGATGATGCTCTAGCACAAAATAGCAGCGCCACGGCAATCGACGCACATTACGATAATATCGAAACAAGACATAGCGAGTTTTGGCCTAAACATGCATCGGGAGAACGATTAACTAAATAAATAAATAAGTATTCTAAAATTTTCTCTGACCTTATTTTAGTAGAGAAAACGAACAATTTTTACCAAGTAATTGTTAGTTCAATAAACAAACTAAAAACATATAATTTCATAGAGAAAACCTTGTAATTTCAGGTTTTTTAAATACTTCTCTTAAAAGAAATAATGGTGAAAGAATTCAGTATTTTAAAACCGAAAACACAATGGGACTTAATTTATAAAATTAAATTAAATGAAGTTTGTCATGGTATCAAGAAACCCGAAAACTTTCAGAAATTTTTAAAAAACAATTTTCTTCCTAAAAAGTTCTACATACAACATGTCCCCAAAACTGCATTTTCTCAAATTTAGACTTTTCCTCATATTTACACTTCTCCCCAAAAATCTTTATGCAGTATTAGATGAATATAAAATCAGATGATTTCATCAAGATAAATTGTACATAGGAAAACATGAAAAAGGTCAGAAACAATACTTGTTAGATTGTTTTTGGTTGGGTACTTGCATTACATATTTAAATAAAACAAAAAAAAATTCCTTGAAAAATAAGAAAAAAAATAAAGAAGAAATAAAATTTAAAAGAACAACCCCCCCAAGAAAAAATTATCATTACCAAATCTATACATATAAATAAAATTTAAGTGTGCCTGTAATATTGGTAACTGCCTTATTTTGAGCTGAGGGGCTATTTGCATGCAGTTAAGTCATAAAAAACCATTTTTAAAAATGTTCTCTGCCTCACTGTCTGTCCCCACTAATCTTCAGAATGGCTGAACCAATGGTTATGAAACTTAACAAACAGATAGAGTGCAATGCCAGGGGTAATCTAGGCTACATTTTTTCCAAACACAGATATTCTTGAGAAATCTAAAAATTGGTAATTCAAATGGTCCTTGATGATTATGTTAAATATAAATAACACCACAATAATAGATCCCACTAAGGCAAACTAAATACTTGCTAGTTTTAAATAATTCATTAATTTATAATTGTTACTATTTAATTGAATCATTTATTATATAATAGTGTCAAAGAAAATTATCATGAATGTAAAGTTATTAATGCTTAATGTCAAATATAATATTTCTCAGTAACTACAATATTTATATTATAAATAACTAATTGTTTTTTAACCTTTAAATAATAAGTCCACAATTGGAATGGCTGAACAGATTGTGGTAAAACTTTACAAACAGATAGAAAGCAATAGCAGGAAAGATGGAGGCTATATTTTATTTTAAAAATTTGATTTTTGTTAAACACAATGAAATTTTTAGGACGTAAAATATTTTTTTACATTGGCATTTACAAAGCACTTGTTAAATGTCAAATGCTACGCCATCGCTTTAACAAGTCGATACTGCAGGGAGACCATGTGAGAAGACGCGACAAGATACTCACAAGTAGACTATTCTTACCCAAGAGTTGCAATTTAGCCTTATAATATAACATAAACATAAGTATAAAAAGGTCTAAGGAAGTTTATTAAACCCATGCATTCTTATCTTTTAAATAGTCATCTAATTTGATCCTTTGTTCATTAAAGTGCTTTTAACATGCACTTTTAATTTATGCAAAGGTAAATCCGTAATAATACAAGGAATCTTGCTATAAATAGTTATTATACATTACCCAAAAATGAGCTGCTAGTTTTATGGTATCTGTATTTTGAAACAGCAAGTATAGATTTATTGCCCGTTTAAAATAATGATAATCACTAATTTTGGCAAAGGTATTAAATTGTTTTCTTAGATATATTATATTGTACATAATGAATTGTGATGCAACATTTAGATGTTAACATTGTAAATAGGACATACACAAATAGGACAGACAGTAATTCTTTTTGATATAATTCATTTATAATTGGATAACAATTGTTTTGTGTGGCTTAAGTAATAATACAGACTGTTCACATTGTATTATTTATTATATTTAATGTTACAAAATGGTTACAACAAATTATATTATTACAGTTCTAGAAAATCTTCAGTCTTCTAGCCATAGATCATATATGACCAAGAACTAAAGACTACAGTAACAACAGTGGTGCCACCTCAATACACTTCATTACTTAAAGTACAATATCCACATCATGCCATTTAAGTCCTACATCAATTTATAGCATACAAGCATCATAGTTGTAGGAAACATGATCATGAATATAATATATTAGCTATTCCCCGCGACTTCGTTCGCGTTAAATTTATTATGATTGAATTTCATGGATTTGAGTTTTTGCGAAAGACTCCCCCACTTTTTCTAAAATAAAAATAAGACTAAGTTACTCCTTATAACATCAGTTATCTGCCAGTGAAAGTCCTGACAAAATTGGTTTAGCCATTTCGGAGATTAGCCGGAACAAACGGAAAAGCAGACACAAAAACTATAAAAATTGTTTTTTGTTTTAAAAATATTTCATATAACTGAGCCCCGCGGTTTCACCCGCGTATATCACGTGTCTGCGCCGCGCGACATGACATGACACCTCGCTCATTTATTTCAATCATTTTAGCAAAAAAAAACATTGGCAAAATTAATGGAGTACTTTTAACTATCGGCATATGTACGTTTTATAAAGCAAAGTTAAATTTTATCCACTCTTTCTGCCCGTCTCGAATGAACGCCCCAGAAAGTGCCCCAAAACGCGGTTTTTCCCAGTTTTAAAGATAAATGTACACATGAAAAGTGTGGAGGTACGAATATCATTTATACAAAGCGATATCATTTATAGTTTTTGCGCATCTGTCACAAAATATGATCATTTATTGTCTAATCGATTTTGTTTCTCAAAGTTTAGGTTTTAAAATTTCCAACTTTACCGCCAAAATATATATGACTAAAGTAAAGAATAGAATATGCTCTTTATAAAGAGGTACAAATTATTAATATATAAAATATTTCTTAAATCTTTCGTTGTGATGTAACCAATTATTGTTTCGACCAGTGATCTAATTAAACTTTAGAACACAAAAGTACCTAATGTCGCCTCTACACGTTGGCCAACACAGTGGCGAATGTAGTGGCTAATATATTGGCTGAAAGTTGGTAACGGCGTCCACACGTTGGAAGGTCGTTCAGTTTACTTCGGTTCGGGCCAATGTGCGGACGAATTTATTTTATTTTAGACGACGGCTTCGTGGCGCAGTGGCTTGGCAATGAGTGGCTGTGCCAGGGGTCGCGGGTTTGAATCCCGCACGGAACAAGTATTTGTATATCCTACAAGTAATTGTTTCGGGTCTGGATTAGTGTCCTTGTGCAATTTATGTTTGTAAGTAGCCTCCGCGACACAGGAGAAAATCCAAGTGTGGGGGGTAACGTTTTTATAAAATAATTATAAAAGAATAGTGAATATTAATGGGGCTGCAAATAGATATACGATATACGATTAGCTTTATTTATTCTTTACATGCATCAGAAACTGGAATAAATACCATTAATTATAACTTATTTTAAAGTTAAAGGAGTTACAATCGATTAGCCTATGTTTTAAAATTGGGTTTTGTTTTTAGCAACACATGTACTTGCTTTTCTATCAGACATTTGATGTATATAAAAAACACCTTATAATTTATTTGGTAATTTAATTATTTTTTGAGAAAGACAAAAACAATAGCAATAAATATAATTAACACTGACTTAATAATAGGTACTTATTATAACTTAGAACATAAATGAAAAACTCATGACAAGGAAAGTGGCTCAGGACCATGCTTTGCGGCATTCTTTGGAGGAGGATGTTCAGTAGTGGACTTGTGAAGAGCTGTAATGATGATGATGATTCGAAAACTTGCACGATTAAATTATAAGAAATCGACGCTTTCAAACGAGCACACAGTTCACCTGATGGTAAGTGGTTACTGTGGCCCACAGACATCTATCCTCGATTACGAATCAAAATGCGTTGACACCCGTGAGGACTAGGATGAAATGCCTCGTTTCCTTTAAAAAGTGTTTCTGGTTCTCTACACTCACTATACCAAA